GGGGGCCCTGTGGCCCCCAGCCCCCCGGGCTGCGTCGGGCGGAGAGAAGCTGCCAGCCCAAGAGGGGTCCTTCCCGCTGGGCTCCCCTTGCTGCCAGCCGCCGCTGCGGGGTCATGGGGGACCCGTATCTCAAGCAGCAGAACTCGGGGTGAGACCAGAGAGGAGCAGCTCCTGAGGCGCGGCTAGGAAGGGCGGGGTGCAGGGTGCTCGCCGATCGCCTCTCCGCCCATGTGCTTGGCTTGTGGCCAGCTGACCAGCCGGGGCGGCTAGGAACGCGAGCCCCGCTAGAAAGAGACTTACTTGCTGCCTGGGGGATTAGGAAGGGCAGGGGTCGGGAGGGCTCATCGTTGCCATTCTCCGTCTATCCAGGCTCGCTGCACCCCTGGAAAGAGATGCCTTTGTGCCCGGTCCTCGCCAAAGGATAGTGCCGTGGAGGAGGAAGACAGGGAGGAGAGAGGCGAGCATCTGCTCTTCTTATTGCAGGCTGTGCGGCTAGTTTGCTCGGAATACATCGCCTTCCCCCCTCCCCCCGACAGGCAGGGGCAGCAGAGGGCAGTGGACTAGGGGAGACACAGAGCGAGCGAGCTGCACAAAGGTAAAACTGGGCTGCGTGTCTTTGTGTGGCTCCTGGTTTTAAGTGTGTGTAAGGGGGGAGGTGCTGCGTCTTAAATAGCGAGAGATTGGAAAGTGAGGAATTGCAAAAAGAAAAGGGGGAGCTGAAAGCATCAGGAAAAAAAGGAGGGGATTGGGCAGAGAAACAGGATGGGAAAGAAATGAGGAGGTAATCGGAGACAATAGGAAAGAGGAAGGGAGACCGAAAAGTGCAGAAGGGCAGAGAAACTGGGTAAGAAAGAGGCAGGGAAGACAGAGAGGGGACAAGATAGCAGTTTTCAAGTATCTAAAAGGTTGTTACAAGGAGGAGGGAGAAACATTCTTCTTCTAACACCTGAGGATAGGACAAGAAGCAATGGGCAGCAAGAGAGGTTTAGGTTGGCAGGTAGTGACCACCTCTTCCAGCGGCTCAGGCTTTCACCAGCAGCAAGCGGCGGCAGCCCCTAGGAGAAAGAGGCAGCGATTTGTGGACAAGAATGGTCGTTGCAATGTGCAGCATGGCAACTTGGGCAGCGAGACAAGCCGTTATCTGTCGGACCTGTTCACCACTCTGGTGGACCTCAAGTGGCGCTGGAACCTCTTTATCTTCATCCTCACTTACACTGTGGCCTGGCTCTTCATGGCCTCCATGTGGTGGCTCATCGCCTACCTGCGGGGTGATCTGAACAAAGCCCATGATGATAACTACACTCCGTGTGTGGCCAATGTCTATAATTTCCCCTCTGCCTTCCTGTTCTTTATTGAAACTGAGGCTACCATTGGCTATGGCTACCGCTACATCACTGATAAATGCCCCGAGGGCATCATTCTCTTCCTCTTCCAGTCCATCCTGGGCTCTATTGTGGATGCCTTCCTCATTGGCTGCATGTTTATCAAGATGTCCCAGCCTAAGAAGCGGGCGGAAACACTCATGTTCAGTGAGCATGCTGTCATCTCCATGCGGGATGGCAAACTTACCCTTATGTTCAGGGTGGGCAACCTTCGCAACAGCCACATGGTATCTGCACAGATCCGCTGCAAGCTACTTAAAGTAAGTGCATGGTCCTGTTCTTGCTCTCTTCTTGGCACTCTTATGTCCTTCTGAACCATTCATCTGTACAGCACTTGTGTTGCTCTTTTCTTAACAAAGCACATCCAGCTCCTCCTTTACTTTCCACCAACCAGAACCTTCATACCATCTCTGCCTTCTCTGGAAGACATTCACACCTCCTACACTTCACAGCTTCCTGTAGTCCTCATGCTGCCTCTTCCTCCACAGAACACTCACTTTCCACTCTCGCCCCAGAATTCTCTCACCTCTTCCTGCACCTTTCCCTGTTCCCTTGGAGCACTTGCACCTAACTTCCCCTTCACCAGCACCCTTTTCCCCAAAAGCACTCTCAGCTCTCCTGTCCACCGCTTCCAGAGAGCATTCAAGATGATATATCCCCAACTTCAGTACCTTCCTTCTCCATAGCATTCATGTGTTCATTACCTTTTTTTTCGACACCTCCTTCAGGAGCACCCGTGTCTCCTTTCTTTCTCCTTCACGTCTACAGCTCTCTCAGTTCCGTCACCTTCCTTCTGAGCACTCCAATATCCACCTTCCTCTTCTTTTCTCCCGAGTCCTCTCATTCCCACCCTGTCCAAAATTCACCATTCATCTTCATTTTCCAATCATTAGATTCCCAAGTCAGAGTTAATTTTTAAACTCCCCTTCATCCAGCTCAGTGTTTTAAACCAACGTTTTTCTTTGTTTGCTTCTTTGTGTGTCATTCCGTGGAGTATCTTACAAGCACAAGAGTGTTTTCTACGGTTGGCATTTAATTTTTGGTCTCTGTGCTCTTTACACTATAATTGATCAACACATTTCCAGTTTGGTTAATATGTCTGTTCAGCACCCTAATATGTGTGCATTTTATAGAGGAATAATATAGGTTCCCGTTCTTAATATTATGCAACCTACATTTTGATCTACTAATTAAGCAGTGCATATTTTTAAAGAATGCAATATCTATCCAGAATCTCTGGTTATCAGTTTATCGTTTTGATTTTGTTTTGACAATTTTAGGGTGTATCTTTTTTGAATAATATTGAGGGCCAGTGACAGACCATTATTTGTGCAGATAGTTTATTAACTTAATGGGAGGCTTATTCTCAGGATGATAGATTTGAAAATTGTATAAATGATTTGCACACCTTGTAAGGAAAACTTACCATTTAACATTTTTAATATCAGGTAAGGATGTTAAATTGTAACTAGAACAAACTTAGATTCAAGTCAAAGTTGGTCCAAAACGTAAAACCAATTTAAATATTTCTGTGGTGTTGTACAAGAAAAACTGTGGTTAACAGTGTATATTTTAAAATATTCATTTGAAGTGTTTGCAACTCAGACATTTCAGTATTTTTAAAGGGCTTGTTCTAAAACACTTTGAAGTCCTTGGACAGACTCCATGACTTTCAAAGTCCCTAGGCCTTAATAGTCTGGAAATGAAATTGACTAGAATATGACTAGACATAGTAATTGACTAAAAAACTAGGTGCTCACTATACTAAATATTGAAAACTAAAAACAATGTATTGTTTTAATATTCTCAAGGGTTATTGGTAACAAAGGTTAGGATATTCTTTCCCCCTCACAAAGCCAAATTCTGATTTTAGTTATACCTGTGCAAGTTCTTTAAAATCACAGCAGTTCCATGGTTTTAACTAAGGCCCCAATCCTGCTATTTGAAAAGTGTTGGCAGAGTCTCATTGATTTCCAAACAATGAGGCATATATATATCCGAAAGTATGGTTTAATGTGAAGGCTGCGACTCCGCTAAAACTGTTAAGCAATGGGCAACCACTTTGTAAATTTCCTGGCAGGACTATTCTAATGCAGGTTTCAATTGGTCATCAATGGCTCCAGCTTGGTATGTGTGGGTATGTCTACACTACCCTCCTAGTTCGAACTAGGAGGGTAGTGTAGACATACCCATAGAGATTACAAGTAATTTGACCCTGAAGATATGTTATACAGAGCCAATGAGGATAAGCAAGAGACATAACAAAATAGAGCAGTTCCATACTTGTCTGGTCTCCTGGGCTACAAGAATGAAGAGAGAGAACATGTTTATACATCAGAAAGGATCATACTGGTTTTGATGAGACTCTTAATCTATCTTCTCAAACTACAAAACAAAAGGAAAAAGCATGTTTAAAGGGAAAGGATCAAGACCATCTTCAAAATGTCAATGATGTCTTGCATTGTTTGGAAGGCTATGGGCTGAAAATATATCATGATATAAATATGAGTTTTTCACTTCTTCAGTTGAATATCTTGGACATGGAATGACTGGAAGCCCGAGTCCCAACCTCTGACTGGAAGCCAGAGTCCCAACCTGTTCTCCCTCCTCCGTGTAGGAGGTGAAAGTGATGGAATAAGGGGATCTCACAGTGTGTGAGGTCTGGGAGCATACCCCCTTATCATGCATTACTCTGCTTGGAGTCCACTGGATTACTAGGACCTCATTTTACCCCACCAACCATACTGGAATCCGTTAAAATCACAATAGATGGAAATTTAAAACCTAAATCTGAATCTTTAGGATGCTGACTGGAGAGTGAAAACCCCCACACAGAAATTTGAAAATTTTGTCACATGGGGAAAAATCCCTTCCAGAGCCAGAAGTAAACTTGGCAATCGGCTTTCTCTTGGTATCCCAAGAAATCTAGATCACTAGATAGGCAATTTTCCAGGCTCACCTTATCACGGTTGCTCCCAAGCAGACATCCCCCACCACCTCACGTCCAGACCCATTCCCACCCTCCATGTCCAGTGGCAGCAGGAGTGGCCTGGACAGGCTCCTTCTCCCACCTCAGGGCATGGAATGAGGATGAGAAATGAGAGAGAAACAGCATCTTCCCCCAGTCCTGTACACAGATGCTGTGGGGAGGGAAATCTGGGGAGGTGCAGGAGCTGTGTCTCAGCTGCTCCTGCCCGACATTTCTGACTTCCCCCACCACCCCACTTGTGCTGGTGTATCGATTGGTCCTGGACCCAAGAACAATGCATGTGGCCTAGCCAGATGAGCACTGGTGCAAGTATCTCCTTGCATGGATTCAGTGGCAGGATCATGACATTTGAGCTCAGTGGATATTTTCAAATGAGATTATTGAGAACCAGCTCCATAGTTACATACTAATTAACGGTAACATCTAACCTCCACATACAATATTGTCTCTCATTTTGTCCTCAACTTCAGTGTATTTATCATAAGCATCATTGGATAGAAGAAATTATAGAAATTAAGCTGCTGCTTTATTACTTTGCTAGGATGGTTTCCATAGATCAAAAGTGAAATACTTTGAAGAAGTACTCTTAACTTTTTCCCCATGGCAGCTGTTTCAGATATTTTTGATAATGAAATCAGACTTTAGTTGCGTATTTTCAATACCTGATTAAAGGGGATTATTTTCTTTTATCAGTTTAAATTACTAAAGTAAATTATATGTGAAATAGCAATGTTAGTGTTCATCTAGTCTTTACAAGGCACCAAAATAAAACATGGAACTGCTTTACCTTATTAGGCTGTACAGAGAACGTACAAGTTGTATATTTAGAGGTCAGATTAGACTACTGAGTTTAACAAAACCTTGTTTTAAATTAATTATTTTAAGGAGTCCCGATCTGAGGTACGTTTTAATAACAATGCTGCTTTGTGAATTAAGAATGGTATCCCTTTGTGTAATTTTAACATGCCCCTGCGAAGGATTATAGAAGCTATTTTTAGATCTTGCTACAATTCCACAAAATTTAGCAAATATTATTGATGAGTCTCTAACCATTTTTTATGCTTGGTTTGGAGGAGTCTGCCAGTCTACGAGCAAGATTGTTTGTGTAAATTTGTGGAATACAAGAAAACTTGTCTTAATATCCATTTACATAAAAAAGCATCAACTGCATCATAATATATTAAAAGAAAATCAACGGATAGAGTTAAACACATTAAAGATTGTCATGTAGAATGTTAATACATACTGTGCACCACAACCAGTAACAATATGAGGAGTTTGTGCATTACAGTAAATTTGGACTGGATTGTGTGCTTGAGATTATGTGCATATACAGTAGTTCTCTTCTCACACACATCTCCCCCTGACTATGGAAGGATGAGATGCCTCAGTTTTTCAGATCATGTGGAGAGCTCTCTGTGAGGATGGAGATATCTGTGGAGTCAACTAAAGGAAAAGGGAAAGTGAAAGGCTAGAAAATGGCCAAAACAAAGCAATGCACATTGATCCCAACCATTTCTGCAATGTATGCTCCGAAAAGTTAGTGAATCTCTCTGCACCATGCACAAATTCTGGGAGCTGTTGGACAAAACTTGATTCCTAGACAGAATTATCTGATGAAATTCTGCACTAAGTGATCTCATAGGCAAAGTAAAACTTCAGCTAAAAGTACAGTAAAACTCCGGTGGTCCGGTATCCAATGGTCCAGCACTCCTGATGGTCCAGCACCATCTGGAACCCGGAAGTGCTCCGGGCAGCCGGACAATTGGAGGTGCTCTGCTCCCGGCTTCTCCGATTCAGCCACTGCTGAAACTGACCAGCGGCTGACTTGGGGAAGCTGGGGGCAGAGTTGCTCTGCCCCCGGCTTTCCCGAGTCAACCGCTGGTCAGTTTCAGCAGCGGCTGACTCGGGGAAGTCTGGGGCAGAGCAACTGGGGTGCTGCTAGGTTGCTCCTGCAGTGCCGAGGGGCGCATTCCCCTCACTCCACCCCAGACCCCTCAACCACTGGTCAGTTTCAGCAGCGGCTGACTCTGGAAAGTCTGGGGCAGAGCAACTGGGGTGCTGCTAGGTTGCTCCTGCAGTGCCGAGGGGCGCATTCCCCTCACTCCACCCCAGACCCCTCATAGCCCCCCCTTTGATAATCCGGCACCCCCTGGGTCCTAAAGGTGCTGGATTATCGGAAGTTTACTGTACCAACATGTGTAGTAAATAAGTCTTTTAAAAAGTTTTCCATTCCAGGATAGTTCTTGAAGGATATCCCAATATTTCAAT